CACTGGCAGAATCGCTGATTAATGCCTACAGTTCAAATTAGTCATTTTGACTGACCGGAGTCTATGGTGGGTATGAACTATGTGAATAGGCGGGTTCGGAGAACCCTCGCCTAATTTCATTGTTTCCATGATGATTTATTGCTCACACTTCTACTGAATTAATTGACACCATTACCGCATTGGTTTCTACATTTATATGAAAAATATTTATTTACATTTATTGAGATGCATTTTCACATGTTCTATATATTGATGCTGAGACCTTTACTCTGAGATTGTTTCGTTTTATCTGATATCCATTTTTGCTATTGTTTTTATTAGTCCCCAGTCAGACATAGTCCGACTGCAACTATCTGTCCATCCCCATCTCAGCCATGGCTGGGCCAATTTCATTTAAACTTCACACACACATCATATCATACATGCACAATGCAATTGTTTTATTATCATACCATTTTAATGATAAAAATTGGCCGAAATCAAATAATTTCTGCAATTCTGAAACTGGTTCTCAGTTGCACATGGACATATTCATTCAAACTTGGTATGTCCATTGAACATAATTAGTACTAGATCTGTTATTCAGATCGGATTGAAAGTAGCCGACTGACAGCCATTTTGTTATAACAAATGCTGTTCCAGGGTGATATATCTACTTTGAATAATCACATTCAAACTTTACACATACATCACACATTGTATCATAAATAAGCACATCTAGGTCATGCATGGAAATTATTTTCATTCAAACATATCATTTTTTCCCCAAGATTTGATTCAAAATGGCTGATTGATTGAAAAGCATGATAAATAAAAGAGGAATCACACAAATAAACTGGCTCAACTGTCTATTATGTCTGAAACATGAGTGTAAATAATATGTTGGCAATAATGTTGACAGTCACTAAAAACTAGACAGGGACTTGTCATTGACAATGACTTCTTTTTTTTCAATCACAAGGATAACCTGTGAATTTCCAAGGATGGTCATAACACTATAAGCTACCTGATCGCATCTTGTATTTTTCTTTTTTCACCTACCTCTTTTAACTAAAAACATGCTACATCCTACACATTGCTGGTAGCATGTCTGGCATGTTAACATGAACATGAAGTCTCCTCAACAGAAATATATAGCTGAACTAATTGGCTCTGAACTTATTTGATAAGTTTTCAAATATGGCCGGGTTACATATAACCTAATGGAATGTGCTGGCAGTTAATATGTTTCAATTTGATTCTCAGTTGAATGTAAAATTTCCCCTTTCACAGTACATTTTCAAGGCATTTTTTTCAAAATGTCCATTCAGAATGTAATATGAAATTATGTCCATTCATTCCAACGAGACCAAAGTAAAATCTTTGAATGTTGGCAGAAAAGATAATACATATGGTTAAACCTTGTTTACTGACACTTGCGTTTTATGCTTGTAGGGAATTGATGACTTACCAGCAGACCAATTGGAACGAACTGTGTTGAAAGTTATCCATACTCAGAAGCCTTGGTTCCATGGCACGATATCTAGAGATGAGGCTGAGAAGTTGATTACAAAGTTCGGACTAGTGGATGGGAATTTTTTGTAAGTCAGTGGTGGTTTTGGTGATTTGCATTAAAAGTATCAGTACAGTGGCACATTGTTTTGGTGGCGAGTGATTTGTATTGAAATACCTATGTGGGGAGATTCATTTGAATTATTGATCTTTTATTCATAACCATGTTTTCTTCGTATTTCATTTTTTGCATGTAATGCTATGAGAAACTAGCACACCCAGTTGTAATTTGGCCAATATTTGTTCTGAACGTTGGAGTAAACACCGTATTCGTAATCGGGCAATGAGAATGCCTCCCGCCCTACAAATTGTTACTTGACGCGATATTGGCAATTGGCAACATTGTATGTTTTTGCGCTCGTTTTGAGCTGTTGCTTTCCAGTTGTTTACCAGTTTTCACTTCCGTGACTGAGAAGACCCGAACCTTCCCTTCCCCCACAACCTATCAGTACAGTCGCACATGGTTTTGGTGGCAAGTGATTTGTATTCAAGGTATACAATGGTGCATATAGTTTTTGGTGAAAGGGCAAGTGATTTGCAATGAAAGTATCAGTACAGTGGCACATTGTTTTGGTGGTGAGTGATTTGTATTGAAGGTATCAGTACAGTGGCACATTGTTTTGGTGGTGAGTGATTTGTATTGAAGGTATCAGTACAGTGGCACATTGTTTTGGTGGTGAGTGATTTGTATTGAAGGTATCAGTAGAGTGGCACATGGTTTTCATGCCAAGTGATATGCATTGGAAGTATCTCCTTCCGGTAAGAACACTGCCGGGGAGTAAATTTATTTTTCCGCAGACAGATATGAAATAATTATTGGGTATTCTGAGCTTGCCAGTTCCTGACACTGCTTCAAAGAATCATGGAAGAACAATATGCCGCCTTTTGATTTTATTTATAAAATAAAAACTGTGAGTAAATGTGATTATTTCAGAGTTCGAGAGAGAGAGACTGCTGGTAGCTTTGCCATCGGTTTATGTTACAAGAAGACAGTATATCACTATAAAGTAGATAAAAATGATACCACCGGTAAACTGTCGATTCAAGATGGACAAAAGTTTGATTCTTTATTCATGGTGAGTATCATTTACATACTTGAGCGTTTGGAGAATTGATTGCTTAACTTTGGTTGCACCTTATAGATAACATTTCAAAAGTGTTTAAAAACAGTGTATACTGGCACCAATAGTTTGTTTCACAGATTATGTGCAAAGCAGAAAAGGTCATTCATGACAAAACATCATCGTAAATTTGTCATTGATAAAGCTATTTTAGTGAAATGAGGCGGCGAGGTGATTTTTTTTTTCTTAATACTGAGCTAAAATAGGGGAAATTTGAGACAAGTGCTTTAGAAGGAAAAAAAAAAAACATTCGAGGCGCAGAGATATTTTTTTCTCAGCCTAATCATGAGTGATAGAATCTTAAACACCCATTTTTGACTCCCATGTGCGAAGCACAAAATGGGAGTC